CGATCAAATCGTTCTCTCTTCACGCCCAAGTTCCGGGTTCGCTGCCCAATAGGGGTTAAACATTAAGTCGATTTCTACCAGTGTCGTGATATTTCTGGAAAGCTTCACCAACTTGTTAACGCATTAAAATTGCTGTTGCTGTTCTTCTTCTTCTTCTTCAACACGACACGTGTCTGGTGAAAGCCTCATGCCTTTATGCCCTGAGGATGCACAGAGGCAGTGTTACACGATTTAATGGTCTGTACTATGTTTCGTTGCGATAAGGTAATTCTTCTCAGAAACCAGATGTTATTTCAATTTTTCAAATTTCCACTAAGTAGCCACATGCTGGAATAAATATAGACCCATGATAATAGGTTCTACTTGGAGATAAGACTGGATTGTTTATACCTGTAGATATGTAAGCCCCACCCCCAACCCCCACGTGTTCACAGGCCGGGGTTGTGTCACTATCAGTGCAGGTAGAGCAACGTCCAAACTAGAGGAATGTGTCCAAAGAATTGTACCCAATACCATGTTGTTGTTTGCCGCACTCAGCAATATTACAGCTATATGGCGGCGGTCTGTAAATAATCGAGTCTGGACCAGACAAGCCAGTGATCAACATCATGAGCATCAATCTACACAATTGGGAACCGATGACATGTGTCAACCAAGTCAACGAGCCTGACCACCCGATCCCGTTAGTCGCCTCTTACGACAAGCATGGGTTACTGAAGACCAATTCTAACCTGGATCTTCACGGGTCCCCAATACCATGGTTGCGTCCCTTATGTACGAAAGGATCCTACGACAGCATGGGGTGAAATGATACATCAAGGTCACGATACGATACATAGGTCACGGTACAGTACGTATCGCGACTCGCGTATTCACCCCAAATAAAATGAAAACATCTTGACCATAAATATTTCTCACGTGAAAACTCATGATTTTTAATATTCCTAACATTGGTTCGCTTATTGTTATGGAAAGGGCGTAGTGGTGAAAGATGCTTCTCATTCTTCACCCTGTGAGAATTACACCGGGTAGGAGATCATTCTGCTGCTGGCACATTCTCATATCTCGATCCAATTCGTTTTGCAGGGTTGTGAGATCTGGGTTTGTTGAAGTAGTACATGCATTGTGGGTCTTATCATCTTGTGGCAGGCGAACTTCTGACCCTCCCCATACCGGAGACAAGCCCCCAGGGGCAGGAGAGGGAGCGTGTAGGCGTAGGGGATTAGTGGGTATAGACTGAGGGGTTTGCTTGTGTAGTTGGTCAGGGTTTGGGAAATAAAGTGACAGGTACTGGAAGGCAGGGGGGTGTTTGTGTTGTCAAGACTGATGGGTGAGCTTCGAAGTAACATGGAGGTCGGTGTTATGTTGAGAGGTGGTTGTTACGAGCAGGGAATGGTTTCTTGAGGGAGGGATTAGTGTTAGGGTGTCGGGGTTAGTTTTATGGGGCGGGGGCTAGTGTTCTGGGGTCAGGGTTAGTCTCATGTTGAGGATGATTGTTACAGGGCGAGATTAGTCACGGGGATTAGCGTTATGTGGAGAGGTCAGTGCTGTGTGCATGGGGAAGGAGGGGTGGGGGAAGGAGGAGTGGAAGGGTAGTGTTATGGTGTCTGGGTTAGTGTTCTAGGTATGGGGTCTGGGTCAGTGTTTCGGTGTTAGGGTTTTGGGGTCGGGCTTATTTTTATGGAGTTATTCGGGTTAGTGTTATGGAGATGGATGTAGGAAGTTCGGCGTAGGGGTTAGTGTAGTCTGTCTCACAGTCCCTGAACCACATTAATTTCTAAAGCCCTAAATAAAGCAAGTCTAGATTTCCTCAGGTTCTGAATCTCTGGTCTCCCGAGGGCTCCTTTTCAATATAAATGGGCTTGTTTGTTAGTATCAAAATTATATATATTCAGAGACTAAGCCTTAGTCTAGGGTTAGTGCTAAGAGAGGGGGTGAGAGTTATCGAGTCGGGGTCAGTATTATGAGGAGAGGGTTAGGGGTTGGTGATAGAGGTTAGTGTTACGGAGTGGGGTTGAATATTATGGAGTTAGGGATAGCGTTGATTGTTGCTGTTGTGGACTAAAGTTTCATATAGCGGGTGTGGAAGGATTAATTTCAAGGGGAGGGGTTAGTGATCTAGGGAGGGTTAGCGTTCTGGGGAAGGATGAAATTTAAGAATGAGGGGGCTATTGTTACGATGTGGAGTTACGGAGTTCAGTGCTGAATATGATCGCCAAAACGCCAAACGTATGCTGTACCTTTCATTTCTTAGTGTTATGATTGGACGAAACAAGAAATTCAATGTATTGTCACCCTCACTCGCATAATCATGTCAGGCTACAGAGCCCACCTCCTCTGTCTTCCAACAACTGCTTTTTTGTACCCATTATAATGAAAGGAAGTGGTTTGATTAATGTGGCGGCTCTTCATGACAGAATTGTATAGTGCAGTTTAGTACATGTTTATTTGTCTGGTTATCCTCTTACAAAGCCAATTGCGTAGATCGATGCTGATAATGTCGTTCACTGGATTGTCTGGTCCTGACTCGATTATTTACAGACCGCTGTCATATAGCTTGAATATTGCGGAGTGCGGCGTAAAACTAAACTCACTCACTCACCCTCTTGTAAAGCATGCCAAGGCTCAGGTTGAGTGGTAAATGCATTCGTGACAATTTTCATAAGCGAGCCAAGGATGTAGGGCATAATCTCTACTGTGATCTTACTCCAATCAAATTATTGATATCAGGCAATTCTTTGACCCTTATGACACTAACTAATATTAAGGAAATATGATGAATATTCGGACCTGACTTACGTTAGTATCCAAAGTGTCGGTGGGGTAGCCTAGTGGTTAAAGCGTTCGTTCGTCACGCCGAAGACCCGGGTTCGATTCTCCACATGGGTACAATGAGCGAAGCCCATTTCTGGTGTCTCCTGCCGTGATATTGATGGAAAATTGCTAAAAGCGGCGTAAAACAACACTCACTCACTAATTTAAAGTACCGAGTTGTAACAACAACAACTACTACTACTACTACTACTACTACCACTACCACCGCTACTCACTACTACTCACTACTACTAAAACTAAAACTACTACTACTACTACTACTACTACTACTACTACTACTAAAGAAATTAACGTTATAGCAGTACATATATGGTGTAATATGGTCCTACTACTACTACTACTACTACTACTACACTAAGAAATTAACGTTATAGCAGTACATATATGGTGTAATATGGTCCAAGCGCAATTACTGGTACGCCTCTAGTGTTGTTTGTAGACAGAACCTAGTCGGAGACACAACTTCGCGATATTAACAGTTATTTCATGCCTAAGCAATCTGGCTGGTGTCGCGACAGTATGTGACTAGCGCAGTATGACCGCCACAGCGCATGTTGTCAGTTATCTGGTTCATTCATTGCTTGGGGGCTGGAAATAGGGAAAGGAAAATGAGGAATTTCCGAATGCTTCTGAGTAATTCGATCTCGGGGAAATATTTTGATTTAAGAGCCGCCGCACCTGGTCAACAAATGTGTTGGAACTTAGAGCCACTTGCCTCACGTTCCTGCCCGGGTCCCCAGTCACACGGCTAAATTCTTCATGTCCTCGTTCAGGGCTTTGCGATCACACCATCCGGCCCTTTTCGAGCGTTAACTGCACTGTATCATGTTGACGTTGAGTCTGAGAGATTTAAGTGCAGTGATACTCACGATTATGTCGGCTACAGAGAAATACGTATCTTTTTATTTTTCGATATATGTGCATGTACATGTATAGTATTTTGGAACTTATCAATGTTTTTTTGTTTGGTGTCCTATTTTCGAACTGTGTTTGATATTGCAAGAAGGTACATGAGCGAATGTTTTGAGGTGATATGAAATGGGGTTTATGGTACGTTCAAGGTTGTTGCACTTAATATCTACTTAAATGACGATATGGTCTCTGGTTGGGTGTCATTATGTTATCTGGTGCCAGTCCTGTCATCTGGTGCCAGTCCTGTCATCTAGCTGAATTATGCTAAAAGTGGCTCAAAACTCAACTCATTCACTCATTATAACAAAAAAGCCACACCCCAAAATTGTAATTAAGATTTTATAAAAATTGAACCCTGCCGTTAGCATGCCTTGTAAAGACTTGAACTACTCTAAGAACGTAAAACAAAGGGATATTATATAGTGGCCAGGGTTTAAGGAGCAGTTTGGATCTGGACAGTTGTGAACCACAGACTCTATGCCGACGGTGTATGTAATTGTCTTTGTGTTAACAGAACAAAGGGTCAAAGGTTTCCACATGGATTATGTGACATGTAGGTAGCTGTATATATAAGTAGGTTTATCTGTAAGATTTCAGATTTGGTATATCGTTAAGTATTTTCAGGAGTGTATCGATTACGTATAATTCATTGTTATGGATCGATGGCATTGATCACCAGGCCCATATAGCTGTTTGTGAGGGTAGCCAATGTTTTGGAGAACCTATACGATAACATATAATTATTTACCGGAATTGTGAATGTGTGGTAACATGTTTTTGATTTGTTCGACATTCTGTGAATGATCTAAAGCAAATTTAGAAAAAAACTTAAGAAATAAATTTGAAATTGCTTGGAAAAATGTTCGTGTACAGATTCGATAAGCGTGAAAAGATTTAAGCTCCGAATAAAAATGGTCTCCAACTTTAAACATTTTTCACCCTTACGAGGCCCCGCGGAAACAGCGCATATGGTGCCTTGAAAGGACACTGTGGTAGAGTCTGACATTCAACTGTGTCTCTCAGATAACACTGTACACATGAGCAGGAGACCTGCTGTAATATTATCTTCGACATTCCGGATCAATTACATAGTTATGGAACGGATTCCAGAAGCTTAATCCGGAACGGGTTCTGATACAGTATACATTATCACCAAATGGTTCGCGAAGTACCGGAACGATGGTAACGGATTCTAGAATCATCAACCGTTACGAGATTCCGCACCGTTCCCATGATTGCTGTGTTGTTTTCAGGGTCCATTGGAAGTAAAGGCGGGACGCTCCAAGTCGATTGGCGATCCCCACACCCCCTGGATAGATAGCGTCACCCCCGAGGACAAAACCCGAGGGGGTAGAGCCAGACCCAGACCCCTCGCTGTAAGAAGACTTCCAGCCGAGGAACTAGAATCTCCCTCCATTGCAGGATATTTGGAGCGCAAAGGATTTAATGGCCAGTGGATCAGGTAGGGTGGAATTCTTGTAGTGTTCGATGCATGTTCACGGTGGAGGGATAGAGGTGCCAGGAGGTCGCGTTATCGCTTGTTATTCTATAAGCTATTATTGGAGAGATTAACTCTGTTTGGGGTATTAAGATAGCGAGTTGAGTAAGAAGTGGTAAGTCTGATAGCAGGGTTGCAGAAGGCAAGGAGCGCTTACTTTGGGAACACGTGGGGTGTGTTTACAGTGGAAGGTAAGGTGCGTGTGTTGCAAGGCTTTGAAATATACCAGTAGATATATACTATAGTGCATGGATAAAGGGTATATTTATTTGATCCATCAGTTTTGGGATGTGCTTCTCAAAGAGGTTTATTTGACAGCCATATTGTCCCTCAGGAATGGAACCAAACGTTTATACAGGCACACACGTGCATGTATGCACGGTGTGAACTACACGTTTATGCCCCAACAGCCACGCCTGCGGCAACCAGATATAACGATTATTCATTCATTGCTTTCATTTTCCTTTCTACCATATACATGTGTACATTTTGGTGATATGCTGCAAGCTTTTGCACCGGATTTAGATTTCAAAGTTACTTTGTTAAAGAATACATATTACTAATAGATGCTATCTTAGTGTGGATTGTCATCACGTTGTGTCACGGAGGATGCTGTCAGGAAATAGGAGGGCCTCTACATCAATATTTTGTTTGAACGGGTTGTTTTATTTGTGTAGTGTTAAAACGAAAATATAAAAATGCAGATATTGTTGGAGTTTAAAAGACAACACGCTACCGCCCAGTTCTGCCTACTTCCTCGTCCTTTCTGACTCACACATGAAGACTCACAGCCAAAACAACGACTTCAGATTTGTTTTGCGGCCCTTATATTCTGAGAATTAAACGGTGTGGGTATATCGTGTTTTGACTTGGTATCACCCTCATTCACAAACTCGCCATCCACATCTTGTACTTTATTTATTCAGGGAAGGTGTATCCGCCAGAATATCATTTCCAGCGTAAATTACCAGCAGTATCTGTGATAACCTGTTTCCTGCAAATATTTCCCTTTCCCCAAATCTGCCGGTAATTCGAACACTGGTCTACTGTTTAGCTATGCCACACACCGTATCGAGATAGGAGCTTGCTTACCCATGGTAGGGGCCCTGCAGTTGGTTAGCTCGGCCCCTATCGCGCATTGGGTCATGTTATTTGGTAAGGGTTACTTGTCATTGATACGTCCACTTGTGCACTGTACAGAAACAGAGGCTAAGACCGTATTGTGTGTGTGTATCTCGTGAACAGGTAGGGATATACAGATATATACACCACTAGCTTGGAACATGTGCTTTATAAACAGCACAGAAAAACAGTTAGGGATAGAATCTGAAAATAAGAACCAGATATTCTTATCAGTCCCACATGTGCAGTATGTCTGGCGGAATTGTGATAAAGAAATATTATGTCAGTGGATACGTTTCTGTTGAACCTCGAGAAGACTCGCTGCTCACGAAGGATGTTGTCATGTTATAGCGTGGAAGTGAAGTTGGTGTTAGGTCGACCAGCGACATTAAGGTATGTCAGCTTCATTGGCTGATGCAGGTTTTAGATTGTAGAACATTGTGCGATATGGTCTGTCTACTTTAGGACATTGCCAGTTGCTTGTTGATTGTAAATTGATTGCAGAATTGTCAGTTGATAGTAGAACATTTTCAGTTGATTGTGAATCTTAAAACGTAGTCAATGGATTGTGGAACATTGGCAGTTGACTGTAGGCAGGGCTCCAGATAAGTTTTCATCATCAGGAGTACGTACTCCATATTTTTTCAATACAGGAGTACTGGAAAACCTTAAGAGTACATTTAGAGTACTGAATGGAATTTAATGGAGTATCTGTAACCTAGTGTTTCGTTTCATATATGCACCACAACATTGCTACGCTTAAGTAAAAAGGTCAAAAAACAATAAAACAATAATGTTTCAGAAAAATACGTCTGTAAATGATTCTAAGACCGTACATCATTGCCGTTGTGCGTATCTTCTACGTTTTCTAAATTATTTCCTACCGTATCGTGCATATTTTTTATCCGTACATACGCCGATACGGCCCTTATCTGGAGCCCTGTGTAGGACAATGTCAGGCGATTGTAATCTGTTAGACATTGTCAGTAGATTGTGGAACATTGGCTGTTGATTGTATGACGTTGTCAGTTGATTGTAATATGTGAGTGAGTTATATTTTACGCCGCTTTGAGCAACATTCCAGCAATATCATGGCGGGGGACACGAGAAATGGGCTTCGCACGTTGTACCCATGTGGGGAATCTAACCAGGGTCATTGTCAGTTGACTGTGGAACATCTTCAGTTAATTGTCGGACATTGTCAGTTGATTTTAATGTGTAAGACACTGTCAGTTGATTGTGGAGAATCTTATTTGATGTATGACATTGTCAGTTGATTGTGGAGAATCTTATTTGATGTATGACATTGTCAGTTGATTGTAATCTGTAAGATATTGCCAGTTGATTGTGGAGAATCTTATGTTGCTTGTATGACATTGTCAGTTGATTGTAATCTGTAAGACATTGTCAGTTGATTGTGGAACATCTTCAGTTGATTGTAAATTACAGATTGTAAATGGTTGTACAGTGTCAGACTGAGAGCAAGATAACGGATTGTAGAGTTAACGTAAGGTTACAGGAAGACCACGCAAGAAGATGAAGTAGCTTCCTTATCTGCAGTGTCACGGCCTCTGATCGTCTACATAATCCTCAAAGATCAAAGAGGTAATGGGACTTGTTTTGGGATTATTTTTCGAGAACATACACCACCAGTTTGATGTTCCTGAGCGCGCGAGGCGTGAGAGTGGGTGTTGTGATGTTATCTGCCCAGACATAACAGGTCCGACACACATTACTTTCTCGAAAATAGCGCAGAAAATAAGATCAAGACAGCTTTATGAGAACACGCGTCTCTCGCCTGCAACTGTCACATAGCTTTGGAACAGTTGACTTTTTTTACAGTCTATGTAGCCTTGCTCCAAGGCTGTACTGGTGAGTGAGTGAGTTTAGTTTTACGCTGCACTCAGCAATATTCCAGCTATATGGCGGCGGTCTGTAAATAATCGAGTCTGGACCAGACAATCCAGTGATCAACAGCATGAGCATCGATCTGCACAAGTGGGATACGATGACATGTGTCAACCAAGCCAGCGAGCCTGACCACCCGATCCCGTTAGTGGCCTCTTACGACAAGCATGGGTTACTGAAGGTTCATTCTAACCCGGACCTTCACGGGGCTCCAAGGCTGTACTGAATGTTGAGCCCATGGATGTAGAGTAATTCTATCCTTTGAAGAAGCAAGTCTAGATAAGCGGACAGTACAAGGAGCTCAGTTTCTTATTAATTAGTGTTCAGAAATTATCATTTAAACTATTAAATTTGACCTTTCAGACTTGTGCAAGTCTAGGTCTATGGATATGGTTTATTTTCTTCACAAGCAAATGACTTACCGCAACCTGGCTGTATGTCTGCATTTACTTCAATAAAACAGTCAAGATAATACTAGACAAGGGCATGCATTTTAATCTAAACCAGTCTTGATGATGAAAATAGGCAAGTGAATCATTTTAATGTAAACCAGTCTTGATAAAAATAGGCATGTGAATTAATTTTAATCAAAACCATTCTTGATGATAAAACTCAGCAAGTATTATAATAACTCAATATTTTCCAGATCTTCGGCAGAATTTAAATACGAAATAAAGCAGGCTTAATCTAAATTACTGGATAAAAGGAAAGTCTTGAAGACTAAAGATAATTCGTGTCAGATATTCTCGTAGTCTATCGTACAGACCCTGAAGCAAATATATCCAAGAAAGCCCACACAAGTCTAGAAAATGTGGCAAGTCTAGATTTCCTCAGCCTCAGGGCTCCTTTTCATTATATATATATTTTTTTTTACTATGAACTTTTTTCAGTAAAATATGTTCATTTCAGAGACTAGGTGTTAGTCTAGTATTCTCGCTGATGGACAACTTCCACCGCGTTGACGAAGGCAACAACACGTGCGGCAGATAGTGCAGGTTGTGTCGGGGTACAGTTCCCCTGGACATGGAATGTAAATATCACGGACACTGACCTCAGCGGGCGAGAAACGCGCACGTGGGAAATGGTCAGCTATCTATCCCCATGTCTGAACGGTTACGTGAGAAGATGTCCCACCCTGTAAAAGGTCCACCGGACAATTGGCCACTGCAACAATGGCGTGTTTGTGGATGTTTGATGGACACGCGGTGATGTTAAAGCGTTGTTAAGGTGATATGTTAAGGCGTTTTGGGTGATGTGGAGGAACGTTGTTAGGCTGATACGTTGATGTTGATATGTTAATGCGTTGTTAGGTTGATACGTTGGTGTTGATATGTTAACGCGTTGTTTGGTTGATACGTTGGTGTTGATATGTTAACGCGTTGTTAGGCTGATACGTTGATGTTGATATGTTAATGCGTTGTTAGGCTGATACGTTGGTGTTGATATGTTAATGCGTTGTTAGGTTGATACGTTGGTGTTGATATGTTAACGCGTTGTTTGGTTGATACGTTGGTGTGTTGATATGTTAATGCGTTGTTAGGTTGATACGTTGGTGTGATATGTTAATGCGTTGTTTGGTTGATACGTTGATGTGTTGATATGTTAATGCGTTGTTAGGTTGATACGTTGGTGTGTTGATATGTTAATGCGTTGTTATGATACGTGGTTGATACGTTGGTGTGTTGATAAGTTGATAAGTAATGCGTTGTTAGGTTACGTTGATGTGTTGATATGTTATGCGTTGTGGGTATATGCGTTGTTAGGTTGATACGTTGGTGTTGATATGTTAACGCCTTGTTAGGTTGATACGTTGGTGTGTTGATAAGTTAATGCGTTGTTAGGTTGATACGTTAATGCGTTGTTCGAATGATACGTTGGTGTGTTGACAAGTTAATGCGTTGTTAGGTTGATACGTTGGTGTGTTGATAAGTTAA